TATAAAATGAGAATTTCTCATTGTAATGAATCAAGTATACAAAAAAGCTGGTTTTTTAATCATTAGAAAGGAATTAAGTAATTAGTTATTTGAGATTTATGTTTATTGATTATTGGTTTTACCAATTGATATGAATTTCTATTAAGTTATTTGATGATAAACATCAAACAACAAAATAAAGTTATTGTATATTCATAGCTAATATGAATGTTATACATAATTCATTACTTGATAATAGGATTAAATCAGTTCAACATAATAAGATAATTCACCATTGTATACATTCATTAAACATTCAATCACTATTCTTTTATGTTTTAATAAATCTTATTTAAATAAACTAATACTAGATATAGAAATTTGTAAGTCATAACCACTTCAATATGGACAAAATGATTTAAGAATAATTCAATAAATAAATTGAAGGATGTGTTATGTTTGTAAATAATGAAAAGAATTGATTGAATGAACATGTTTTCTTTTAAAGAAAGATGAATAAATGAAGATGAACAATGAATGTATGATTTAGATATGAATTCAATAATAATATTCAATGAAGAAATTATATAACAATTATTCACATGAGATTAATAATTTCATGTTGATAAATTTCTTTTGATATAATAAAATTGATTTGACAATATAAATAGATTATAATTTGGTTTCTTTCTTTGGTTATAAAGAAGAATTGAAGTTATTTGAAGTTTTAAGTATTTAGTTCATTATTTGGTGTTCATTTGAAAAGATAACTGATAAAATATTCAAAAAGATTTCAATGAATAAATTGAGTAGTGTATTTGTCATTAGTTTCATAATCAATATCTCTATTTTCATCTTCAGACTTTTTAAACATAGTACATATTGTTTGACAATGATGGTTTGTGATAAAAATATTCTTTACAGTATCAAATTCATCAGAATATTGAATGAAATAATATTTACTTGGTTTGCTATGAATAACTTCTGCTTTAATTATAGTGTATTCATTGTTTGTTAGTATAACAAATACGTTTTTCATTATCACCAAATCACTAACACTTTCACTGCTTTGACACCACAGAAAATGGTTGAATGCTTCTACACTTAAAACACCTCCATAAACTTCCATACTTTTTATTCCTAATTTATCTCTAATTCCACTTCCTTCTTCGTTGATTGCTTGAATTATTTGTGTTTCTGCTTCTTCATGATACATTTCAATTATCATTTTTTCCTTTTTATCAATCAAATCCTTCACTTCTTTAAGTCGTAATGTTCCTCCTTGATTCATTTGATTTGTTACAACAAACATCTGACTTCCTTCACAATTTATTCGTTTCATTCGATGTA